CCGTATCAAGGTCTTTAACAGTAAAAGACGGGAATGGATAAGATTTGACGAAAGGATGTGGAAATAATTGAATCCAGGTATCGTCCCCCATCATCACCACTCTCGTCCCATTCTGAACCAACTGTAAGCAAGATTATGAGTTAGACAACCATAACAAATAAACACGGGATATGTGTTAAACACGTCAATCGTGAAGTAATTATCAAGTCATACCTGATGTATCAAGTTATCTTCAACAATTGCTGGAGCGCCGAAACTGTTTCCAACATCAATAAACGTGGGAAGTCCACCGGTAGTCAAACCCTGAAAGAGATAAGACTAAGATTAGTCGCATAAGCTATGTCCTAAGTTAATAATGAGGCGCACTGCATACTAATAATTTTGCACGTGAGTGCCTCAAATCAGATTCTCATGTACTGAAGCAGTTGTATAAGTCGGCCTTGGAAACAAGTCGAGAAAAAATATGCATATCACTCGTTGCAACTAGGAAAAAGTAATGACATTATTCACCTTTAGACGCTGCAAACTCGTGGTAGGGGGATCCGCTATAGCTTTGAAAATTCTAGATGATCGGTTCTGACTGGCAAATTCGTGAAGCACTTGTAACTTATCCATCCACGGTTTCTTCTCTAGAAGAATCAAACAAACATACGTTAAAAATAATATTAAAAGGCAATATAGTTGCAAGTACTATTTGCAAACGTAGAGTACTTACCCGCAAAAAATGTGCTGGGAGCAACAAAATCGAACCTGCAATTCATCATAAACACTCAATACGGTTCGAATTAACAGAAATAAAAATAATTCCAGCGGGTAAAAACTGCAAAAATTGACAACCTAATAGCATCAAGAACAATGATAACAAGACGATCGACAACGGGTTTATTCCAACAACTACCGTTGGAAGTTTGATCACGAGGAGGAGAAAAGCAGGGAGACTCGTCGACGTCACTGCAATGGCTATACTGGGAGAGTTCGGACCGAGTGAGAAGGAAACCCCTCGTGAATAATAAAATGGCCAAAATGTGAAGCAGCATTATTCCCAGGAATGCACAGAACGCCCATTTTGCAGCCACTGCCATTTTTTCCGACGATGCACGCGATTCACAGTACCACCTATTCCGATATATTTGAATGCTAAGTGGAAACGGAATTTGAGGAAATTTATCAAAATAGTGCTAGGGCTTAGCGCATAAATTTAAGGAAATAAGTAAGATCCAAGGTTTCTGTGATCAGGAATTATATACAGCGGAATACATTAGGTTTGATATTCCAGTCGGTGTAAGCACAGAGCGTCGAGAAACTAACTGGTGGCACACGGCGGTGAACACGCCGGAGAGGCGGGCCGGGTTTTTAAAGGTTGCTGATGTACGGTTTCTATAATTACAAATTAGTGCCACTGTAATTCCGATAATCAAATTCATTAATTTTGGGTTTGAACTTTCCAAATTGGCCTCTTCTTTTTCAGGAACAGAAAATTCGAATAATATTTACTGTAAGTTTTTTATTTAAATTTTCATCATTAAATTTTTTGAATGGGTTGTCTTAATTGGAAGAATAAATTAGGGTCACCCAAGTAAGCTCAAATTACCAAGGAAAAAAAAAAACATATCGTTTATGTAATTACAACCACTCATCCACAATGACTCTTCTCAGTTCTCACCATAATCTGATATTTACAAGCCAAGATACCAAAATACAGTCTTATGATCATCTTGTTCCAAATTATGGAGCTCGACTGGAGTAAAACGAGTACAAGCTGGAGAATATTCCACATAATCAAGAAGATTTTACTAAATTTGACACGACGACAGTAGACGTGTAAGAAGATTCATAACTGAGAAGTGATTGTAATAAATGCGAGGACGCTTTTCATAATTTAATTTTACCGGGTGGCTCCAATTTACCCCATTTGAAAAGAAAAGAATATCAAATAATAATCCACGTGATATATCTAATACCCAACCCAAAAAAACTCAATGCCACTCATCTTACAATTTTTCATAATACACACTAAACCAACAGTACTTATAACAGAACAGATAAAAAAAAAACACAAGGGAATAATTCGAACGAACAACAGAAGACAATCTAAACAAATGTCAAGCAGCTCCAGCATAAACAAACGGGTAATAATTGTTCAAATCTCCGATTTTACAAAGGCAAGTTATATCAGTGGTTTATACTTAAAACAACATTTAGCAGGACGAAACACAAGCAAGTGCAAGAACAATCGACAAAGTCCTCCTCATTCTTCAGCAGCACTCGCAGCACTTAGATCCACATTAAGATCAAGAACCTGAAATCGAGCAAAAGCTTATCAGATCATTACGAAAGTAAAATGCCTAAACTATTAACTCAAAAGGCTCCATTTGATCGACGTTTAATTCAACAAATTGCACTTAAGATGTTTAAATTTCAATTAAGCACTTGAGGAGATTTTTAGTTCTACATGGTCCATATAATTGTTTCTGCCATTTAAACGATGTTGCAGAATAAGCCCTTGTTTGGCCGGTAAGATTAGCCACCGTTAATTAAATAATTAGGTCTTATTTGATATTTGGTTAGTGCAGTAACCTTTTTTAGGGGGATTGTGGACCTCCTCTAATCTAATTATACAATTGGGTTTTCACAAGATTGCATAATCTTATCTTGGGAACCAAACAAGGCTTAAAGAGACAAAATACATCCTGAAATGAATTTCAAATTCTTACCTTTCCAGTGATCAAGGTATACATATTCAGCACATCCACGACAGTCGACTCAAAGTGAGTGGTGGCATCATAACTCTGTCACATAAGAGTTATGTAAGTACATAAACTGGAAACCTTAAAACGATCAAGCACTTGTAATTAAATCCAAATAACATTTCTCTAGAAACTTACTGCTGATATAAAGCAATTGTCCAGAGAAGGCTCGTTGACTGGTTCGAATCGGTCATAGGTCTCGAAGAATATCTCGTCCACGGGCCCAAGAAGATCAATACCGGGCTTTAGTTCACTCTCCGGGTCATCAGTTTCCGCTTCAGTCGAGACAAACGCAATAAATTTCCCTTTGGGAGCAACATTGTGGGAATAAGAGCAACAAAACAAATACCTGTGAAGCAACAAATCACATAAGATGGTACAGAAGTTTCCAGAATCGATCTTAAGAGTGACTAAATTAACAATAATCGATTAATAGAACCACACTATTAAACTTATGTCTTCTGTACCATCAACCAAGACAATGAAAACAATATATATACTTTTGAAAGGTCGGGATAGTAATTTACATGTCTGATTTGCGACCCAACTGCTTCTGAGGTAGGATAACTTGTGCTGAGTGACAATCATTGGTATTCGGAATTGGGTGGCTCATGATAACAATGGCTCTGGCGACTTTGCCGACCTTTCTAACCTGTAGCATGTAACAATAGAAATTTGAAAACAATTGAGATAGATATTCGAAGCAGAGAACTTGACTTTCGTAATTAATATAATGTTATTGATAGGATTTTGGAGTAGAATCCAATTCCAAAACAAGATAAGAAATTACCTTGTTGGAAAGGTAGGAAGGATCGCATACAACTTTTTTGCACTTGGCTGTTTCTCCTTCTGATGTAACACCACATACCTTGCCTTCCTCGTCGAACTCTACCTGGCATTTGACCACTTCATGTCAGGGAATTACTTACAACAACCAAAAACACAAAAGCAAGAAAAACACTCGACCAACAATTGCAACTAAAGTAACAGCAACATATAAACGGAAAAAAAAAATGAATGACCGGCAAAGGAGAAAATAGGGTAAGAAGAAAAGCACGGGATTCATACCTTGCATTCAGGTTTATTCAGCATGTAAGTCCCACCATACACGGCACTAAGACGAGCAAATGCCTGGTGAAATTTATAGAAATGAAAATTCAATCAGTTATGAATTTTGAGATGGGTGATGGAATAGAAGAAGTATGGAGTAAATCAGTTTGTGAACATTGAACATAAAAAATAATAGAAAAGCAGGTGCACGGATAGGAAAGAAACACAGACCTGAGGAAGCTCCCCAAGGCCATACAAAGGGTAGATGTATGGTGATCCTCCAGCAAAACGTGCTAGAGACTCTGCATAAAGCTACAATCCAGAAGAAAAAAGAAAATTAGTAACGGCATGTTTTTGCAAGAAAAGAAAGAAGGTAAAATGAAGTCAAAAGAATTACTTTCATCCTTTTCACAGTGTCTATTGCTGGTTCATCCAAGTAACGATCATCTCGCTGGAGAGCCAATGCATGACCGATAAAGTCAACAGTATTATCATCAAGACCATACTTCCTGTAGGGATTTGACAACTTTAGATTTTCAAAAAGTCAAAAATAACAAATTGATGCATCAAATATATAACTAAACAATAGCCGCATCAAAACAATGTCAAATTTAATATGCCCTTTATAAAATATGGCTCGGCTTTATAGCATGTTATATTATCATTCTGATTTATTCTAACTAGGAAATCAAACTTAATACGGGGGCTGATTCTGCACATTTCTAAGAAAGATGTCATGCTCTCCTAAGAACTACAAAACCCAAGAAAACATCATACTAAAATACACAGTTATAATTATTGTGATGAAAATGGATTTGACATAACCTAGCTAAAATCTTAAACATGCGTTCCCAACTCTTATTGACCAATATCACAATATAAAATATTTCATCCGTGTTTCGATAGGCTAAGATAACTCCTTAACAATCGAGAGCTGTAAATTACAGCGTCAATCCATATTCACCTTAGACCTGTAATTCCAGAAATTATTCATGCGGATACTGCAACTACTTCCTGATAATTGTGTACTAGATAAACCAAGCATGATTGCACACTTTCAGAAGCCCCCTCATACAGATAAGCATGCTTATAATAGATCACAATCAATAAACTCGTTGACAAAAAGAAAGCAAGACGTAACGATGATTTTATTTTTTAATATTAGAGAGCATACGCTATGAGTTGTCTAGTTGTAACTGTTGTCAAATTCATTCCCTCATGTGTTTTAGGATCGCTTTCATTGTAATCTTGGACGTAGATGAAGAATTTCCGCGCACGTCGTTTTTCAAAGATACCCATGAGAGGAGATTTGAGGGCCTCCATGTCAGTTGCAGGCACCTTGTGAATCTATTGTATAAAATTTACCACAAAAAATTCAGTAAACCAAATTATTTTGCGAAATTAGACAAAGAACCGATGGTCTCCTAGGAACGACGCAAAAAAATATAATAAAAACAATACGATACCTTTCCTTTGTTGTACACAAAGCTGCCGTCAACAGCTTTGAAATACAAATATTTAGTGACATCAGTATGAATAAGGACCCGCACAAGAGCACCATTGGCCATAATATACTGAAATGAATCAAGTAGCATATCAATAAACATGCAGCAGCAAAGGAAACATATAGAGTATAAGCAATAAAATACAAATAATAAAACACCTTAGGAATCATGTCGACGTTATAATCTCTGCTTGAACCCAATTGAGGAGGAGGCTTATCACTTCCTCTAAACCTCTTCCACAGCTGCGGGATTAAAAAATGTCCAATCAAAACATAAGACATAAGACAAATCGATTGAATCTATCTTAACTGTAATGTATATCCTGATACATTCAAGTAGAAATAGACCTCTTTCGAATTGAATTGAGGTAATACCTGAATAAGATTGAGTGAAGTTGACTCCCCACCATAGTAGTCATTGCGATCCATATGCAGAACCTATTTCCATATACAATAGAAGGTTCCAGGAATCAAACTTTAGGATCAAAACAAAATTTACAAAGAAAATACTACACATAACTATTTTTTCCAGATAACAACTCGTCGTCTATGTGAAAATGTTCCGCACATGCTCAAGGGATAAACATCAATTTACCAGGCGTTTCACAGAAAACGAGCAGAGTACACTACGTTGAGATATCGAAATCGAAACTCAATTAACATCACATATGACCTACCAAATAAACGACACGATCTAACTTCAGGTGAAGCAGAGCTGACTCACGACAGCAAAATTTTCAGCAGAATCACTAGATCGTTTCCAAATATAATTGAACTGAGTGAATACGATAATCGATAATCCGGTTCCATTCAAAACCAAAAAAAAAATAAAAATAAGAAACAGATCACATAAACAAACGAAGTGTTGAACCAAATCATCCATTACAGGTAACCAAAACTCAGATGAATCGGAGGAATTAAAACCTATGTCACCGCGAACTCAAAAAAAAAAAAGGGCATAAACTAAACAAAAATCCGATCACCGGAAATTTCAATCCCAATACAGAAAATAAGAATTGAAATCAGAAAATGAAAAAGGGGGGAACAACCTTAAGGCCGTCGACTGATAGAAGACCGCTGAGGATGCATTCCTTCAGACCCGTACCCAGCACAATCACATCGTACTCTTCATCCATCTTCGCTGAAACTTCAAACTGTCTGAATCGACAACTGAAGTAATTGATAGATTGATTTGCCCACGCAGATCAATCAGTTCGCGAGAAATGACTAGGGTTCTTCTTCTCTCCTTGATGGTCAGAGGGGGATGAGATGCTCTTTGTATGTATATATGTATCTATCTGTCTCAATACATTTACTCATAAATCATAAATACCTAAATAAATTATATATATGTAGATCGCTGTGTGTTTTTCACTTTTTTGTATAGAAAAAACAATAGTCAAAATAGGAAATGATTTATTTTACACTTTTACTACAGACTACAGTACATTCAAATAGGTGCATAGTTTTGCATTCTCCACCCTCATTAATACCCTCAATCTCATATCACACCCTTGGAACTTATAATTATCACTTCACACCCTCTAATTTATTTAGCTTAAAAATTTGCGTTCACATATTTCTTTATTATTTTCTCTATATATATTCTACTCCCTTATTTTATTTTTAAGAACAAATTTATATCTCATATTTGGTATGACTTCACTTCAGATCACTTAATAATTATTTTAATGTGTAAAGGATAATTTTTGGCTTTTCTATTAAAATGAATGTTATTTACAAGGATTTTTTTATTTGTGCAGATCCACTTTAATCAACACGTTAACGAAAATGGAATGAATGCTTGTTGGAGCTCGTTTGGCTAACTTATTTTAAACTATCTGATAAGATCTTATGTCTGATAAACTGTTTTAAGAGTTGATAAGTTGTTAGGTCTTATTTTTAGATTAATTTCTAAACTGTTTGGATGATGAGTTTATAAGTTGTTTTTACTCATTATAAGATCTTAAATAAAAATGTGTGGTATATATGTTCTTTTTAAAGATTTTAAAAGTTCTCCAACGGCTTAATTTTTTTTTAAGATCTTTCCTAAAAAATTTACCAAGTACTTTGAAAGATATTATAAACTCTTAAGCATCTCATAAACTTTTTTTAACAGCTTATAAGCTCACCATTTTAGTCTTAATATTGCTAATTCACATTGCACTATAATTATTGTACTAAGTTGTCGCCTGTGTTCGTGAGTTTTATTTTAATTTCTTGACTTAAAACTCTTTTGTGTGCACATTGCCAAATATGACATATTTGTAGGGTACGCAGTGTTATTTTTACATTTTTAAGAAGCAAAGTGTCAAAATGAACTATATTGAAGGGGTCAAATGCATATTATCATAAAAGTAGATGGGAGAAAGGGAATATCTGACATGTTCAAGGAGAGCAAAGAATAATGAATACCTTGTTCACAAGTAAACATTGCTAATGATAGATAAATAAATGTATATTGTATACTAAGGCCCCGTTTGGTTGACAAGATAAGATTAGCCAAGATAAGATTAAATAATCTAATGAGACCCAATTATTTTATTGGAGCTTGAAAGGTCCAACAAAAAAAATTCATTAAGAGGCAAGATAAGCCAAAATAAGACAAGATAAGCCATGATTATTTAATTTTGGCGGGTCGACCCGGCAAGTTATTGAGGATACCAAACATCAAATTAAGTCCAACTATTTAGTTAATCATGGCTTATCTTTGCAACCAAACGGGGCCTAAGTATTTCTTATAATTTTTAACTATTTTTGAAATCCAAGACCATAAATACTTCCCAATTAATTTTTTATTTTAGGGCAAATTGCACTTCGCCCCCTTAAAAGAATTATTTTTTTGCACTTTCCTCCCTTAAAATACAAAAATGAATTATCCCCTTCAAAATATACAACTCGATGCATTTTGCCCCAAATGTATATATCCGGTATAAGTTTCGTGGAATTAAAGGTGCATATGTCATTTTACTTTTTTCGCTTGGAAATCCTCATTCCAGAGTTACTTAGGGTTCCCAAATTAACATAATTATCTTCTCAATTTTATGAAATTCGTTTTCAAATTAGACGAAATTCTCTTCCAAAACTCGACAAAAATATTATTTGTTCTTCATAATCATTGTTTGATGGGGTGAAAAAATGTTAATTAACATTTAAAGCCTAAAAATACGACATTACCCTTACAATTTAGTCAAATCCGACAAGAATTAAACCGAAAATACTCATTTCCGGTAAAATGCACCGAATTGTATATCTTGAAAGGGGACATTCTCGTTCTTGTATTTTGAGGGGGTGAAAGTGCAAAAAGGGATTGTTTTTTTTTTTTTTTTTTTTTTTTGAGGGGGCGAAGCCCAATTTTCCCTTTATTTTTTTATTATTATTATCAAGGAGTTATATTTTAAATAATAATAAAAAAAAAGAACATAATAATTCTCTAAGATCTATGGAAGCCCACATGTAAGTTGGCCCAAAAAAATATCTAAAATAATTCAAATTGGACTTAGGAATAGTTTTTGACGGGCTTTATTACAGATTCAAGCCCAAATTGAGAGCAGGGTCCACCAAACGGTATTTTACCACAATACCCTCATATACGGCTACTGTTTTTAGTTGCCGTAGCACAATCATGAGAGGCTGATTTAGACATAATAGAAAATAAAACGACGGAGAACATTATTGTAAATTAATAATTAAATAAAACAAAATTAGAAAATGAAAGATGCCC